CCATCTAGTGTGACTTAATTTTTTATGTTTTGAAAAGTGTTTTGAAGATGAGAAGCACTGCTTAACTAAGTATTTGTTTAACCGAGGGTTAATAACTATTACATTCTGGCAAGTGACTAGCCTTAGTGATTTTTCTCAAATTGTTTTAGCATATTAAAAACCTGAATGTACAAATTTCTAAATCTGGAGGAGTCTGGACTTTTATTTTAACAGTTGCTAGACATACATAACTTCTACACAAGCTTTCAGATTTATATTACTATGTGGACTTAAAATCCAGAAAAATAGGATTGACGCACATGTTAAGTTAATAGTGTCACAAGTGAATGTAAATCTTGTTCTCAAGTACTTTGAGGTAGCATAAGTAGTAAAATAGTAATCTTCATAGAAACGCTTTTGCTTTACTGTTAAGTGTGGATACCAGACTTTGGGCACATCTACATGTTGCTGTACAGCGATGTTGCTATGGTGCCATAAGCACAGCACAAGGTTAGATTTTGCTGCTATGGCAAGGTAGCGGTGTGCTATGCTGGGGGGGGGGCGTGCTGCTATGGCAGTAACTGATGATCACATGTAGACCCATATTATTGCTGCGTTGATGTAGCGCATCACTATGTCGCTGTAAGGCAACGTGTAGGCACACCCTTTTGAAATGAGTAAACTGATCGACTGGTTGCAGGGTGCTATGATTTAGAAATCTTCCTGGGGAAGTGTAGAAAAAACCAAAGTACATAGTGGATAATGCCCCACTTGCTACAGAAGTTGGCATTAAAGTTCTGAACTTCTTAAGCAGACTGGCAAGAAAATTGTTTTATTTGAGATGTCCTACATTAGTTCAATTCAACAGTGCTTCTGTAAGGCTGGTGTAGTAAATGTGTAATGATGGTAATGCAAGAGATTTCCATGGGGGAGGCTCTGCATTCCTCTTGGTACTCGCTATAAAATGATGTGCAATACAATCGCAGGTTATATTTCTTTCATTATAACCATTGCAAGAAAACCAGTGTATGGCGTGAGTATGATCAGACTTGGGCTCAGTCAGATTTATTTCAAACTACTTCTGAAAGTTAATTTAGAACCCTAAACTTTTGTCATATTTTGAATTATTGGATTGCTCTAGCATTTCTTTGTTTTTTGTCTGTAAATTAAGAATGTTTTGTTGTACTTCATGGTAAGCAGAATAACTGAAGTATTTCATTTTGAGATTCCTCAGCAAAAAATTGCATTTGCTTAATGAACCTAGAAATGTCAGGCTACATAGCACAGAACGTTGCCATTTGACCGTCTCCCTCTTCTTGCCTGTCCCCCACCACCCATATTCCCCACCCCCAAATACTTGTATTTGACACTGGCCTTTAATTTTGCTTATTTTTATATTTGAAAGATTTGTTTAGGTATGATGATATTGCATGTTGAGATGCTGCCGTCCCAGTTTTGTAGCAAACCTTGGAGCCCAACTGTAAACTTTGGCTATGCGTTACTTAACTTTCAGAAGGTGCTGCGTATTTAGAGAATAAGGTATATTAGGATGTATCAAAAATTCTTGCCCTCTTTCCTCCCTCTGCCCTGCCATGATAAATATAGTCAATAACTAAGGCTTACAACTGCACTGGAAAGGCCCTTGATACTTTTAGTTTGCTAATGAAGGTAAGAGTTCAGAACAGCCTTGTGAAGCAGCATTCTTTTATCACAGTTGTGTATGTGCCGTTGAAGGTGTGCTGTGCCTTCAGCAGCTTTTGGGTCATATAATTACCATTTAAAGAATTCCCAGTCTCTTAACTTTTTTGTCTTTGGTCATTCAGTCAAACGGTTAGTGGATTGCCTTATGCACTATTCATTGTGAAGGTCCTTTTCTAGATTGTTGTAGGTCACTAAAAGAAGCTAAGTAGTTTGTTTCCTAACCTGAATTGTGCAATGAAATTTTGCTATACCTTTTTGTGATAAGTAACAAAGAAGGCAATTGGGTTGCAAGAGTACATGGATCATTGAGGAGCAAATCGGGGGAATACATTGCAAATGCAAAGCTTACAACACTGCAGATGCTCAATTTAGTCTTGCAGTAAAAAGCATTTTACACCTTGTATTCTCTCTAGTTTCTTGACTTAGCAGGTTTGCTGACAGTGCAAGAGAGAGATTTCCATTGCAAATCTGAGTTTTTTCCTCACAGCAAACGCATTAAAGATTGCATCCTTATGCAAAATGAAGGTGGAAAATTGCTGTTAATTAGTGGTACACAGAGCACATATTTGAACTAAAACTTTTTAGTTTGTTTTCAGCAAAATTATGCTGTTGTACTTAACTACTTCACTCTTCAGTAGTGGGCTTTTTTTTTGTTTTTTTTTTTTTGTTTTTTTTTTTTTTGTGGTACTTTCTTTATATCACTGCTTTTTTTGGCCTTTTGGACCAAACTTTAAAAGTAGCTTCATTTTGCTTTTTGTACATATCCCCATAATTTTGCACAACTGAGGAGCTAGACGTAGCAAGAGGTGTAAGAAATAAAAAGTTCCATATCCCATTGCTAACCTCCAAGTCATGCAGTCTCTTACAATATGCTGTGTGGCTTGTTTCATCCTGTTTAATATTTACTATGACAACTGGTGAAGAAACATCACCCCCCCCATTCACTTCACCCCAGTTTCTTCCCTTACCTCAAATAAAAGAAAGTTCCTATACAGCTTTAACATTTTTCGTATTTTCCCGAATAAGGAATCTGTACAGTGTACATGCAAAATATTTTCCTCCTTGGTGTATTTTTTCATTAACACCACATTGTGGGCATCGTAGGTATTGTAAATCATTGCATTTGTTTTCAAATTGTTATCATGAACTTAACCTTTTTCTTCATTATTTAGTATGCAGGGAAATATATGTTCTGACATATAAATATGGCTTTTAATTCTGTCCACGTAGAAGGTTTGCTAAGTGCAGTATTTATGCAAAATTTGTTTTCTCTCAGTGGTTGAGCTGACATCCATTATGGTAGTTGGTGTGCCTACAGACACAAAAATCAATAGTGCTTTGTTAACAAGAGGGTCATCAAGCATTTCTATCTTGGGTTGCTTGGACAGATTAGACTTCGGTGAAATAAGGTCCACTTGTGCTTGACTTAGCATGTCCTTTATTGTCTGTGCATTCAGGTCTGTGCCTGTGGCTATTGTTTCATATTTAATGCTATTTCTTGGGACTAAACTTATATCTTGTTTAAGTGTAGTTAATTGTCAACGTAACTTAACTCTATGGTTTGTTTCTTTGAGCAAGTCTCAAATTAGTGGAGGAAAATGTAATCTTATAATTTACAGAATAATCTCCATTACATGGTGATATTTGTATTATTCAGGCTTGGAGGGAAAAGTAAGAATCATTTAAAAAATCACTGTGTTGGTTTTTATACTTTCTGTTTTTGCTCTTGATTTTTCTCTGGTTTTAATGATAAATATTTTCCAAGGACATTTGCAACATATTCCCATTTCCATATGTATTTTCTAATGGCTATTAAAAGCTAACTTCAAGGTTACTGGAGCTTAAAAATGGATTTTTTTTTCTTCTAGCTTTTTAAAAAATTTCTGGCCATGCTGGACATCTTCAGCTCCAGCTCTGAATAACTATTATTTAAATGATTCATTATGAGTCCACACAATATTGCAGAAGATATCTTCATGTTTTTGTTGTTTTTATTTCCCTCCCTAGGTTGTATTGAAGATCATCAAACATTACCAAGAGGAAGGTCAGGGGAATGAGGTGGTCCAAGGAGTGCTGCTCGGACTGGTGGTGGATGATAGGCTTGAAATTACCAACTGCTTTCCATTCCCTCAGCACACGGAGGATGATGCAGACTTTGATGAAGGTAATATGGAGTTTGTGTAAATTGTGATTTACAGTCTTTATCTCAAAAGCCAAAGTTAAAAACTGCCCTTGAAGATGTTAGGGAAGGCATGTTGTTCTATTGTTATAACACTGTGTATGGACAACTTTTATTCCTGAATAGCATATCTATTGAAGTATAGTTTAGTTCAGTTCCTGTACAGTATAGTGTTGTGCCTTCAAATTTCTACATGTAGCTGAAATGCAGAGATTTGCATGTTTTTAAGGGCACTGTCAACTCTAAATCTTGTCCGTTTAAAGAAGACCATTAAAAGTAATTTCAGGTGTTTGTGTATGCTTGTTTTCATGCTAACCAAAGCCATATTTCCTACTTTCTGCATGAGATGGTATAAATGACTTGAAACAAAAAAAGTTAAATACATACAGTAAACAAAGAAGCATATGATTTTAGAAGAAGAAAAAAACCCTAAAAATCCTAGCTGAAACACTTTCAACACTTATTTTTCAAGCTTTATTAAGCTGATTTGTCCCTTACTGTATTTCTAACATGTTGAATTATTTCTAACAAAGCAGTATTTTCAAAGTGCCCATTCATGTAATATAACTAATAAAAATGATGCTTCTACCTAATTTCAGCAATTGAATCCACAAGAGCAATTTTAAATCTTAAAATAACTAGCTATTTTTTTTCCTTTGCCACCTCAAAACAGGTTAGTTTAAACATCTCTTCAATCCTATGGTGTTTATGCCAACTAGTCTACATCCTTAAAACATAGCAATCAGACTAGTCACATAGAAACTTCTTTAGAAAATAAGTTTACTTGTTACTTCTATTGTGGGCTCAAATAATTCAAATATCAAATAATGATATGAGAGCCCTCTGAGCAGAAGATAGGGTTACATTATTGCACTCGCTCTACTCTAGCACTTCAGCCAAAATCAGATTTTCCTTAGAACACATGTAAACTGATTTTTTTTTTTTTTTTTTCCTTTTTCCATACTCTTCCCAGGGCTTGGGTTACAATTCCTCCCAACTGACTGATGGAAACATGCTAAATCTCTGCATAACACCAGGTCTAAATATAACATTCCAGCTGTAATTCACATTTTGGTTGTTTCAATCCCTAGAACGTGGCAGAAGTTTCCAGCTAACTGACTGGCAAGTTGAGAGAGAGTACCTAGGCATAATCTAGTTGCCTCTGTGGCACTGCATGTTGTGCCAGATCCCATAAGACTTGTTTGCAACATTCAACTCTTGCCAGGTGTATGGAACAGCTGTCCTTGCTTGGAAGCAAATTCATTACTGGGAAGTGTCCTGTGATTCAAGGCCTCCTTTCCTCATCTCGGCATCTGCAGGCTAGCTTGACTTCAAAGGGACTTACTTCATTTATAAGGAGAGCCAGCCAAAGAAGCCTGCTCAGTCCAGGTGCCTTTTCAGTACCACTCCCCTTTAGTGCCCACTCTCTTGCCAGTGTGCAAATACACCAGAATGTCAGATTCTTTTTACTGGTTAGGTTAGTGATTACCGAGTAGGAAAGGGACCCAGGCATAACAGCATGCCAGTCATAACGGCATCCTTTTTCCAGGCATAAGTTTCCAGTAAAGTAAAACTCTCCCAGTAAAGTTCCCAGTAAAGAAAACTCTCTTGCTTCCTTACCAGCACTCTTGAAACAAGATGAACTAGATAAAAAAAATTACACAATCATAGAAAAACAGGGATGCACCATCAGGGGTCATCTAGTCCGGGGGTGGCAACCGAGGGTCTGAATCCAATCCATGGAGCTGAGGGGGCTTTATTAGCCTTCTGATTTATGGCAGCATGAAGTTTTAGCCACACTGTGGCTGGGGGGAGGGGGGGGGGGGGCG